ACCTATATAATATAATAAATATAATATAATATAATATAATATAATATAATATAATATAATATAATATAAGATTTACGTTTTTGTGTGTGTGACAGAGAGAGAGAAAAGTCTTTAAAAGTTAAAGAAAAGTTATTTTGATAGTGATTAACTTCTCTAATCTGTGGGTGGACATGTAAATACATACAAATCACTCGCACATAATACATTTAGAATAATTACATTTAGAAAAAGTATTTAATTGTTTCTCTGCAATCTGACACTCCTCGACTGAAAAATGGATCAATCATGCTTATTAATGATTCATTCCAAACCATAAGTCAAACACGCTTCAGTGGACCTGCCAAAATGTAGCCCCGCTGAGAAAGAACTGATTTGTGTGACTATTATTGAACGGGTCAGCCATATATAATTCCTCATGTGTCCCTTCCTTAAATAACACTCGCTCAGAGCCCCCTAATCCCCGGTAGGAACATCCTGCCCAACGCATTCCCATTTAATCAGCTCTCAGGAATTGAACTATGACAGCAGGGGGTTTAAGTGATCCATCAAAAATGCCTCATGTAATCGCCTCCAAATATAAGCATAATGAATGCTGGTTTTTCTCTTGTAGCTGTCTGGTGGAAATATGAAATAACTGCCCTTGTCCTCAGGCTAAATACCTATTGGAGAGGGGTGACGGATCAGATACAAAAATATGCTGCAAAACAGAAATCCTACACAAGTGCATACCTAATATTAATATTATATATGATATATTATATATTTAATATAAAATTTAACACACACACACACACACACACACACATATACACACACACACACACACATATTAAAATCTGTCCCAGTGCACACGGAAAGAAGTTAAAACTTCCCAACAGGATTTAAGAAGTGCTGTATCATGATCCTGCAGAGATCTCTTCCAAGAAAATGACATGAATGTTGGAGAGGAGAAGGACGAAGGAGAGTGGGTGGAGGCGCTTGAATCTTAACCTACGTGTATCTCCCATATGAGCATCACAGCTAAGTGTCTGGAATACATGCACAAACCACAAACCACAGCTCCAACAGTATTTGCATATCAATTCAATCAATTAGGTTGTATTTCAAACAATTGCCATTTCGATAGCTTTGCTGTTGTGTTATTTTGAGGAAAATGTCAGTTTTGTAATGAGCAAAAGTTTTATGCCATGTATTAAATAATGCATTAAAAAATGTGCATTAAAGTCACGATTAAACAGAAGTAGGGCCAGATCCTTTCTTTGTATTGTGATTTAAAAAATTACAAATGAAACTTGCATGAATGAAAAGTTCACAATAAGATGTATAACTTACATTTAGAAAATAGGATGAATTTTCATTTCATGCCGACTTTAAAGGGATAGTTCACCCAAAAATGAAAATTACCCTATGATTGACTCACCCTCAAGCTATCCTAGGTGTATATGACTTTCTTCTTTCAGACGAATCCAATAGGAACTTAAAAAAAAAAAGTCCTTGCTCTTCCAAGCTTTATAATGGCAGTTAGTGGTAGAGGTCTGCACGGGCTTTAAACTGAAGCCCGAACCCGGCCTGTACCTGAGATCACCCGACCCGACCCAAGCAGCACAGTTAAATTTAGAGCCCGAACCCGAAATCTTTTTTTTTTTTCCCCACAAGGAATAGCCTTGTGTAATTGAATAAAGGCCTCCTGTAGCGAATCGATGCGTTTTTGTAAGAAAAAAATCCATATTAAAAATTTTATAAACAGTAATCTCTAGCATCCGCTAACTGTCAAACGCGCGTTTGATATAGGACGTAGGCATAGCATAAGGTCCGGTGAGAATATGCTAGTCTTGCGAGAACCAATGTTTGTTTACAAGAGCAAAGGAAGAAAAGTTTCCTTACTTTAGCAAAGGAAAACCAGTCTCCTCTTGGCTTATATCAAAATCTTCGTTTTGTACTTCTAATTCATGACCAGTGTTTTGTTTTTGAGCTTCCGCATTCATCACTTCTCACCAGAACTTACACTATGTCCTACGTCATCTGCCAGAACGGTGTTATTGTTAACGCGCGTGACAGTTAGCGGAAGCTAGAGATTACTGTTTCTAAAGTTTTAAATATGGATATTTTTCTTTAACAAAATACGCATTGATTCACTACAGGAGGCCTTTATTTACCCCCCGGAGCCGTGTGGGACACTTTTTATTATGGATGGATGCGCTTTATTTGACGTCTTTTGGACTATTGAAAAATAACACCCATTCACTGCCATAATAAAGCTTGAAAGAGCCAGGACATTGTTTAATATATCTCCGATTTGATTGGTCTGAAAGAAGAAAGTCATATACACCTTGAGGCTTGAGGGTGAGTAAATTATGGGGTAATTTTCATTTTTGGGTGAACTATCCCTTTAAAATATACTTACATCTCTAACTCGCTGTTCTTACAGGTTCTTGGAGATGTTGTGCTTCTATTGTTGTCAAACTCTCCATTGCTTGTAGTAGGAGTTTCTGCAGACATAGTACAGCATTATGAATAATTTGATTTATGCAAAAGAACACATGCACTATATATGTAAATACATATACACATAGTATAGTATAGTATAGTATATACGTGTACTGTTGTACTGTGTAGATATATGTGTGTGTGTGTGTGTGTGTGTGTGTGT